AGGGGGGTCTTGCTGCTGTCTGTCCCTTCTCAGACCTGCAGTGTCCAGGGATCACAGGGCATGGGGCAGCCTGACCAGAGGGGAGCCTGTCCTCAGCTCCCTCCCCTCCCCCCTCAACCCACTCACAGCTGTCCTCATCCTCTGGGAGCACACTGACCACGTAGCAGGCGTAGACAAACCCCAAGACCTGAAAGACACAGAGGAGAGTCTGCGTGAGCCCCACCCAGCAGGTGGACCCACAGTGCTGGAAACTGAGGCTGCATGTGTCCCTGTCACAGGTCACATGTGCCTGGACTTCCCTTTCCCCCCCTGGCTCTAAAGTCCAGGTCAGGCTTCTTCACTGGCTTACCGCTGGCCTGCTTGGTGAGGGCTAGCTGGTGGGTGAGAGGGTGAATGGAGGGGCTGGGGTTCAGGGAGAAGCCCTTGGAGAGGGAGGCCACTGGGAGCCTGGGCCAGGGGAGGTGGAAAGCCACTGGGGACTTGGGAGTTGGCCATGGTGCTGAAGCTCTCAGCCTTGCTGCAATGCTGAGGAGGGTATTATGGTCCTCCCCACTTCACAGATGAGGAAACCGAGGCACAGAGTGGCCCACCGGCAACTTCACACTCCTGGGGATGTGTGCACAGGGCAGGAAGCAGTTGGGCTCCTGGACTCGTGTGAGAGGCCCCCAGGTGGGAGGAAAGCAAGGAGGAGAATCCTGGGGGCCAGCCCTCTCCCCAAATCCCACTCTCACTGTCCTCCGGCCATGCTCACCGCCACCAGGACCTGCAGGGTGCTGTGCAGGGCCTCCACATAGCGGTGCTGCAGGGCACAGTCAATGCCAGACACCAGGGCCTGGCCGTCCAAGGTCTCAAGGCTGGTGGCTGGCGTCTCCTTGTGCAGACAGCCCGGCCCATGCTCATGCCACCATGAGTGATGCTGGGAGAGGCTGAAGGTGAGGAGCTCGCTGTCCTGGGGTGAGAGGAGGGCGAGTTAGCACCAGGCTGTGGGCAGCCCCTAATCTCCCTAGGGCTCATGACCAAGGCATCAAGGGTGAGCTTGCCCCACCCCACTCACCTCCGAGAGGCCCCCTACTTCCAGGTAGAAGCAGATGATAAAGATGTTCCAGGAGATCCAGACTGCCCCCCACACAGCATACTAGGGATGTGAGAGGGAAGGGCAGAGGTCAGACCCACTGTTCCCCGGGGGCCCACCTGCCTTGCCAACACCCTTGGGGAGACTCAGATGGTCCAAGGCCTTGAGGTCCCAAAACTGCCAGCTCATGGATAAGCAGGCAGTATCCTCACATGCCCTGAGAGGGGACCCCTGCACAGTTGGTCCAGGACAACTGTTTCTGGAAACAGTAGTCCTCACCAAGGACACCCATGACTGCCCAAGGGACCAGTGACTGGAGCACAGTGGCCTTCACCACAGAGTGTGGGTCAGGGCCCCTTGTCCTGGAAGACACCCCCACAGGCCACTCCTGTCCCTGTGGGTCCTCACCTGCAAACAGCCCTGCCACCCCTGGCCCCAGGACACAAGTTGCTGGCTTGACAGTCTGCCCCATGCTGTGGCGTCCTTCACTGGAACAGCCAGCTTTGTCCCTTCTGCCCTCCTGTCACTCAGAGCCAAGGGTGGAGCCAGGTTGAACCCTTGTCCCTCGTGGGCCAGGAGGGCTGAAGCAGGCCCAGGTGGTCCTGCCCGTGTCTGTGGGCAGGACGCTCCCTTTTCTGGTGTCCCTTTTCCTTCTGGGGTCAACAAAGCACAGCCCATGAGGGCCCTTCTGACCAGAAAGCACTGAGACCCCATGTTTGCAGGAAAACTTGCTAAGAACATGAAAAGTGCCCCCCCAGCAGCTCCTGCCAGCCCCACAGTGGCCAAGCCTGGTGCTCCCAGCCTCACCAGGGCACAAAACACATCCCCCTTCTTCAGAGAGGGCAGGGGGGAGGCCAGAGTGAGTGGGCGTCCACAGTCTGTGTGAGGTGTGCAGGGCAGGGTGGTGGGTCATAAATAGAGATAGGATGCTGGCAGGGGGCCAGGGCCAGAGGGAAGGAGATGTTACCTAAAAGGTCCAAACAGGAGCAGGACACCTTAGCATCATCTCAGCCAGATTCTCAAACCACTGCCCACTTTTGTCAGTAAGCCTGTATTGCCACACAGCCACACCTGTTCGTTTCTGTCCTGGTGTGGCTGCTTTGGTTCCCAGCAGCAGGGCTGGGCCATCAGGACAGAGCCTGCAATGCTGAAAACACCCACTCTCTGTGCCTTTGCACAGGTCTTGGGCCCTGATCCACATACATTGCTTCATCTCCAGCAAATGAGAACAGTGTCGTGCTACAGCGAAACTCCCGATTGTCATTTGAACTTCTTCAGGGGCAAGAGAGGCAGCTCTGGTGGCGCAGTGGTTAAAGCATTCGGCTGACAACCAAAAGGCCAACAGTCCCAACCCACCAGCCACTCCGAGGAAGAAAGAGGAGGCAGCTTCTGTAAAGATGACAGCCTTGGAAACCCTGTGGGCAGTTCCACTCTGTCCTCTGGGGGCGCTGTGGGTCAGAATCCACTCCATGGCAGTGGGTGTGGTTTGGGCTTTGCT